AAAAAAAAGCAGCTCTCATGGTCAGGCTTATCCTGTCTGTGGCTAATTCCCATCAAGAACAGCTCACTCCAGCCATTTCCCTACTTTTCTTTCTATTACCCTTCAGTAGACAGGCTGGTGGGATTCCTGTCTTGAGACTCTCACTCTCTTGGCCTCAAAGAGATAGGACCTTCTGGTGTGCTCCTCTAGGAAAGAGTGTGTCCCAAGCCTTCAAGAATCACACACAAAGTCAGAATTGTGCAGTATCTGAAAACACTACAGGTGGGAATTTTCCAAACCACATGGTACAATTCACACCTGTAAAAAGAGACAGAATTTCCGCTAAAAGCATTGCTGAGACAGTTAACCAGAATCAGGTCACAAATGACTGGGCTGACTTTTATAGAGAGGCAGGAGGAAAGAAGAGTACTCCAGTTTTGGTGTCTCAACTCCTCTAATGACCACTGCGTATTTATACTTTCTGGCCTTTGGCACCTATGAAATGAACTCAGCTGATCTAGTGAGTATTTCTGCTTGAATTCCTCTTTCCTGTCTCTTGCAGTTATCATGAGTATAGGGAATCTTGTTTTCTATTTTTATCTGGAATACGTTAACCAATGACAAAATTTAGTAAAAACTCTGATAAGCTTGAAGGAGAGAATTCAGCTGATACTGTTCATTCTTAATAAGATGATGAAAAAGATGCATATGGAGCCTTATTTTCCTTTTCAAGTATTCTCAAGACACACAGATATCTGGGATTTGTTCTTTATTTACCAGTTGTAGTTCAGTGACAGACTCTTGCATCACACATAACACGATCAGGAGACACCTAATTTAAAGTTAAGAAACAATGGGGAAGAAAAAACAATTTATTTCTCTCCAAAATGCTTATCCAAGTACAAAAAAATTGGAACCATATTAAAGTCTTAGACTTGGGATTGTTTTAGAAATGGCATTGGTAATTTACATAGCTAACTAAGGCCAGATGTTAGAAGCCTAAATTTAGCAGAGACACTTCATTTGCCATACCAGTCACGTACCTAAATGCTACTCCTGTATTTATGACTCATTATCTTTGTCATTGTGACAGTAAGCATCATCATCATCAGCTGTCATTTGTTTCATACCCTTGTAAGAGGGCTTAAGAATACAGACTGGTGTGAAACCTGATGCTAGTAATTGGTGGAGATCTCAAAGTTCTGTGTTGTATAACAGACTTGAAAGAACCTTAGAATAGTCCTTTCATCTAATAAAAGAATGGCTTCTTGTCAAGGTCACTACTGTGTAAAGGTCTCTTCCATTGTTAAAAAGCTTTGATTTTTAGGAAGCCTTTTCTCTTTTTAAGAAAATAAGTTCTTTCATTTCCCAACCTCTTCTCTCCTTAGAGAGCCATCGCTTGAAACAAAGAATAAAAAAGGAAGGGGGAAAAATGTTCAACAAAATGGATTAAGCAAGGATTTTTTTTTTAAAGGTAATTGGGGTTAAGCAACTTGCCCAGGGTCACACAGCTAGTAAGTTTCAAGTGTTTGGTCTGAGGCTGGATTTGAACTCAGGTCCTCCTGACTTCAGGGCTGGCATTGTATCAGTAAACATTTATTAAGCACTTACTGTGTCCCAGGTTCTGTGCTAAACATTGAGGAGATAAAGATAAAAGGAAGTCTTTGTCCTCAAAGAGCTTACCTTTCATGGGAAGAGAAAATTTGTGAGGTAGTTTTAGGGAAGGAAGGTGCTAATATGTGGAAGGATCTAGAAAGACTTCATGTAAAAGATGGCTCTTCAGCGGAGGTCTGAAAGAATTTTCATTCTAAAAGAGAATGGTAAGGATGTTATTTATTATGGGGAAAAAGGGAACTTGTAAAAAATTCTGAATTTTTTTGGTGTTGTTAATATACAATAATTTAGCAGCCAATACTAAAGAATATAAGCATGTACTTAGTATTATCATCAAAGTAATTCGGAATTTTTTTTTTGCTAGCATTTATATAGTGCTTTAAAGTTTGCAAGGCCCTTTACATGTATTAATTCATTTGATCCTCGCAATAATTCTGTGAGGTAGGTACTGTTATCATCCCTCATTTTATAGATGAAGAAATTGAGGCATAGACAGGTCAAATGACTTGCTCATGGTTACAAATGTAGTGTTTGAGATAGAATTTGAACTCAGATCTTACTCCAAGTCTTGTGGTCTATCTAGCTGTTACACCTAGCTGCCCTCACTAAAGAGAGTTTTTAAGGACCCTAAAAATGTCAGAGTTGAGAGTAGTTTTAAAATATTTCTATCATTTGTACCATTACCTTATGTTTATATAGATATTTTCTTCTTTCAGCTTACTTTTGTTTCCTTGTATTTCTTGATTCTGTCTTTTTTTTATTTCTACCTCTTTTTCTTCCACCTTCAATTCATCTCTGAAATAGCCATAACATGTAAATGAGGAATATCTTGAATATTATGTTCTTTTCTTTTAATTTTAAAATCTGAGGAATAAAACATTTGATGCTTCCTTTCCCCACTCCCACTCCAAAAATAATTAAGGTTTTTTTTGTGTGTGATTCTCAGTGATAGAAGAAATAAGTCTTAACCCTTTGAGGACCGTATGAAAATTAAAATGGCTCATGCGCTGATAGGGATATTTTAGTGTTATTCAGTTGTTTTTTAATCATGTCTGACCCTTTGTGACCCCATTTAGGGTTTTCTTGGCAAAGATACTGGAATAGTTTATCATTTCCTTCTCCAGCTCATTTATAGAAGAGGAAACTGAGGTAAACAGGGTTAAGTAACTTGCCTAGGGTCACACAACTAAGTGTCTGTGGCCAAATTTGAACTCAATTCTTTTTGACTCTAGGGCTAACACTCTATCCATTGAGCCATCTGGCTGCCCAGCATATTTTAGTAGCCCTTAAAAAAATATGGGAACTATTTCTTAATGGAGATGTTTTCCCTTACTGACCTTCATGTATAATGACTATATTTGTAATGAGGTTATTAATTATTTTTATTGTTGCCTGTATAGTACCTCGCGGTTTATTTTGAAGCTTATCTTATTCAAACTACATAGGGACCAGTACCTAGGAGGGATAAAGTAAAAATCCCTTTTTATATGACATCCTTATATATCTTAAACCCTTCACTGACATGCATGAGAGTAAGCTCTGTGCCATTTATTCATTATACTTCCCACCTTTTTGAGGGTGGCAAATGACTACTAATAAATGATAGATGAAATGATGCATTAGCTCTGAGAGCATTATTTTTTTCCTATTATTTTTCCAGAAAAGTAGACTCTTCTTTCTGCCTGTAGATACTTTGGGCTTATTACATTGTAGCATAGGAGATGGTAGCAGCTTGAGTTATGAGATTCGGGAAAGAGATCCTTGTTAACTCTATATCCATTGAACTGTGGCACAGGTTTATTCAGAATTAAAGATATGACTTAGTATATGCAAGTTTCTCTCTGAGGTGCAACACCATAACATTTATACTAGGTATAACTACCTTCGTAAGTAGTTGGAGGCTTTGATGATAACCCAGAATTCTTGAAGGCTAGGTTGGAAGACCACAAGTTTTGGTAGTTCCTTCAGAAATTACAGATGCAGGCAGGTGTCAACTTTCTGGTGAAGCTAAGTGGTGAGTCTTCTAATGGACATTTGCCACTAGGTAATTTGGTTTTTTTGGGCATAGTAATTCAGAAAGAGCATTTGCTGTCCTGATGACTTGTGGGAGTGGGAGTAATGTGCACAACACAGTTACAGGCCTTGTAGCACAGAAGTGCAAGTATAAGTAACTAGAGAGTACGTCGATGGGGAAATGAACATTGGACACTTGACGAGTGAGGAAATGGTTTACCAGACTGGGAAAGGGTAGGGGTGAAGTACCAAGAAAAGACCCTGGAGTCACATTTGATTATTTTACCTTTAGAGGAGGCTGGAAGCAATAATCCCCTCAGAAAAAGCTCTAGAGACTTGATAGGAATAATTGAAGAGCTATAAACAGTAGTTTGTGCACATAAAACAGAATAACAATTTCTGTCATGGTTTTACTTCCTTTGGTGGCATTTTCTCAGCTGAAGAAAAAGAAAAGCAACAGCCATACATAACCAAGAACTGATTAGATGCCCCATTATTCTCATCTAAAAATCTTATATCAACAAAGGGTTTTCATGGATATTGTGATTTCCATTAACTGAGAGTCCATTTTTCTGAAATCTACTTCCCTACCTTTCATGACTACTTACTATTTGGTAGCATTTTAAAAATCAGTCTCAAGCGTCTCCTTGGCCAAAATATTCATAACCTAGAGGCCAGCCTGCTCATGAAGAGGTGCTCATGGTTAGAGTGGAAAACATCAGTCAGTAGTCAGTTGTTAAGTACCTGAGATATGCCAAATATTGTGCTGCAGATAAAAATACAGAAGCCAGTCTCTAACATCAAGAAACATGCATTCTGATGTAACACACGTTGCGAAGGAAGACTGTCATTGTCTGTACAAACAGGCAAAGGCTGTATGTGTAGCCATAGGGCAGTAGCAAAGATTATTATTCCAAGATCTGGAATGAGATAGGATAACTGGAATAGGATAAGATGGAGTAGGAGAAGAGATAATGTGAAAGGTCACCATTCTTGGCAAGAAGAAGGGGAACAGCAGCAGCAGGGTAGATGGCAAGATAGCTATAATTGAGTAGGTTCTGATGTCCTGATGTACAGCTAGATAGGACCTAAGCTTCTTAAATATATTTGGTTATTTTCACTCACATACCTACCAATCTCGTATTAGAACAGACAAGTCTATTATGTTTCCTGTATCAGAAAGCTTTGTTATCCATTTCTGGAGCACAGGCATAAAGGATGCTGTGAATGTATCTCAAATTGATAAAAACATTGGTCTGAATGTTTGATGCAGCACATATTACAAAACATAGATTTTGCTTTATTTACCTCTTTGTGATATGTATTGATGTGTGTGGTTTTATTACCTCAAAGAAACTTTAAAATGATTAACAATTTGGTTTTTTTTCCCCTAGGCATCTGACAATTTTTCAAAAAGTTCTTCATTCTGCTGTGATAAATTTTCTCAGTAAGTGTTCTTTTCAGCAGTTCTTTTATGTGTGCCTTTAGTTAACCTTAGGTCTCCAGGAAAGCAATCATTATATCTTCCTGCCAGTGTATGGTGTGTTTTTTCTTACTTTTTCCAGATCCAAATTGCTTATCTTTAAGAAGTCCAGATCAGAAAAATCCAGAACACCTTGCAACGTTAATATCAAGAGAATGCAGTTTGACTAAATATAATATGACTTTGGGAAACAAAAAATAAGAGGATCAACACATGTGGATTAAGTTTTTAGGGACTGTTTGATATTGTGAGAGAAACACAAGACCGGGAACATGAAAATAGGGGTTAAAATGCCAGCTTTCTTTTTTTTACTGGCTCTATCTACAGCAAATCACCTAAACTCTTTGGGTCTCAGGGTCTTTGTATTTGATGTGAGGCTGTCACAGTGTCATGCTGTAGGCTCTGAGTGACCAGATTAGTAGGGGAGCAGTCAGAATGAAGAGAGAGGCACAGATAAGAAATATTTTCATGGAAGGAGGGACTTGGTAAATGAAAGAGAGTCATGAGTCAAAGATAACTACAAAGTTTTACCCTTGAAATTCATTCTTTCACAATTTCTATAGTAAAGACTTTGATTGGAAAAAAAAATGCTGACCAGCTGATATTTAAATTTAAAAAATAATTCCTTGGAGTTTGTCACCTTTTACAAATTTGTATGAGTTTTGCTCAAAATATTTTCATTCATCTTTTCTCTTTCCCCCCTCTATACCCTGGTCTGATTTCCTTTTGCTCTGCCTGCTTTTGAACCTTCCACTCTTTCACAGGAGTGCCATCTTGGGTCATATCATGGAAGAAGGCTATGAACTCGATCTTACCTACATCACTGAGCGGATCATCGCTGTCTCCTTCCCAGCTAGTTGCTCAGAGGAAACTTATCTACATAACTTGCAAGATGTAACCCGAATGCTGAAATCCAAACATGGAGATAATTACCTGGTAAGAGTCAGCACTATTTACTTTGGTAAATAGTATCAAGACGTGCTTATGAAAAGTTGCAACGCTGCCTTTTATCTTAGAGCAAAGTCATTTTTTGATGTAACTCTAATTATACCTGTGAGTAGAGGTAGGGGTAAGTAGAATGGGGACAGTGAGCTCTCCCTTGTGTCAAGAAAAATAGATATTGCCATGAATAGTTAAGCAAAAACAACCAACCTAATGGCCATTGTATACAATGTTCTACTGGTAAGAAATTTATACATTTAATAGTGACTAGGAATCCTGATTTGTTTTCGTACTTAAAGATTTTGTAGGAATGTGAATGTAAGCAATATAAAAATAAAATGTCAGTGGGATTTCTTGGTGTAAAATAGCTTTTTCATTCTTTTGTTTTTGTAATAGAATATAGTGTACTAGGATGAACTCTGTCATTTGAAAGAGGAAGGTTGATATCTCACTTCTGACCCAATCTTTTGTCATATTGTGTAAAAATTCAGTTGTACTGACATGAGTATTTTCTTTCCATTCATTTCTCATGATCAGACCAGTCCCTTAATTGATCTATTTAACAGGTGTATATAATGCAGTCCATTTTGCTACATCTCATGCCATCTGTTGTACTCATTAAACTTTAGTGACTGACTGAAATGATCTGGGATGTGATGGATGAGTTTGTAATCCTGCAGCTATGTCACTGAGTTTCCTTTACAGTTGTTGTTGAAAGTTCTTTGCCATTGGCTTTCAGTTCAGTCACTACCCTAATTAATAATAAGTAGATTCAAATGCATTATTGGATTTTTTCCTTTAGCAGTTTTTAGAAGTGTTTCTTTATATTCTCTGGTGTTCTGCCTCTAGGAATTTATATTTTAGGTTTTGCATTAACCTACGCTGTCATTTATTATAACTAGATTTCAAGTTAGAAGACCTCTCCAACTCCACCTTTGCTATTTAATAGTTGTGTCAGTTTGGACATGTAATTAAATTCTGTGGGCCTCACTTGCTCCATGTCTGAAATCTCTTTCTAAGAGATTATGATCTTATGATATAAAAAAAAAGAGGTGTATCTCAAGAATTTTGGAAAATGGGTGTTATGATCCCATTGCTCCAAAAGGGAATATATGGAAGACTCTACAATGTGAAATTTGATTATTGGATAGCAAATCATGCCAGAAGGGGTGATTTAAAGAAATTATTTTTGTTGTACAGGAAACTCTCATATGAGCTAAGATTTTTAAGTCATACAAAAATAAAAGGAGGGCATATGGATGAATATTTGAATTCATCCTATTTGAACAGTTTCTAGAAGTGTAATACTTTGTATTAGCTGTAATGATACTTGAGGCAATAAAAGAAAAGTTTGTTTCTCTTTGAAGTCAAGGAAAGGCTATCTAGGAATAGTCAAGAACATAAAATATTGCAGCTAAATCAAAGATGAGGGCTAAGGAAACGCCCCTGGATTGGTAGATAAAGAGATCTTCAGTGATTAAGAGAGAAAACCCCCTGGTATTTTTGATGTAAGTTAGATAGCAATAAGCAGACATAGCAAGTATAGACAGCTACTTTGTGAAGTTTGGTAGTAACAGGGAAGAAGTAAGAAAAGATGGTAGTTTGAGATGGGCCCAAGCAAGTTTGGGTTTGGTGTGGTAGTGATAAAGCTGAATGAAGAGGTTTTTTTAGGATGGTGGAAATCTGAACATTTTGGTCCCTCCTTGCACTGGGCAGCTAGGTGATGTGGTGTACCTGGGTTTAAATCTTACGTTGGATACCTATGAAATGTGTGACTTTGGGCAATATTCTTAATTCTCTCAATTTCAGTTTCCTTCTCTTTAAATGGGTATCATAATAATAACACCTACTTAACAAGGTCATTGTGAGAACCATATAAAAATAGAGTATGTAAAATGCTTAAAGCTCTGTAAGAACACTAGCTGTAGTAGTAGTAGTAGTAGTAGTAGTAGTAGTAGTAGTAGCAACAGTAGCAGCAGCAGCAGTAGTAGTAGTAGTCATCCTTATAGTAGTAGTAAATAGTGAGTTAGGAATTGGAAGAAAGTGGGATAGTAAAAATGAAAAATGAGAGTAAGATTGGGTGATAGAGCAGCATCCTGAAGGAGGATAAATGGGATATTGCCATGAATGCAAATGAAGGGGTTAGCATTTGTAAGAAGACATGGCATGATTCCTCAGATAGCAATGAATAAAGGGTACTAAAATACTGTGCTCTGGAGGTCCAAGTGACATGGTGGAGAAAGGGCAGGATTAGAATCAGAGAAATTATTTAATTTATTCCTTCTGACCTTGGTCAAGTCACCATCTCTTTAGTCCTTAATTACCTAATCTTTAAAATTAAAAACAAACAAGTGAGGCCTGTACTAGATAACCACTAAGGTCCCTTCCAGAGCTCAGTCTTTAATACCAAATGAATTGAACTATGAAGCTATATTAGAAGGACGGTGGTATATTAGAAGGTTTGCTTGGGCCCATCTCAAACTACCATCTTTTCTTACTTCTTCCCTGTTACTACCAAACTTCACAAAGTAGCTGTCTATACTTGCTATGTCTGCTTATTGCTATCTAACTTACATCAAAAATACCAGGGGGTTTTCTCTCTTAATCACTGAAGATCTCTTTATCTACCAATCCAGGGGCGTTTCCTTAGCCCTCATCTTTGATTTAGCTGCAATATTTTATGTTCTTGACTATTCCTAGATAGCCTTTTCCTTGACTTCAAAGAAGAAACAAAACTTTCTCTTTTATTGCCTCAAGTATCATTACAGCTAATACAAAGTATTACACTTCTAGAAACTGTTCAAATAGGATGAATTCAAATATTCATCCATATGCCCTCCTTTTATTTTTGTATGACTTAAAAATCTTAGCTCATATGAGAGTTTCCTGTACAACAAAAATAATTTCTTTAAATCACCGCTGCTGGAGATAGAATTTAAACCAAGACATTCTCATTCTAAATCCAGTGCTCATTTCAGGATACCTTCCTGCTTCCCTTTTAGGGGTAAGCATTTATTTTCCAGAGGGCTATTTATCCCCTACAAGATACCTTTTGTCATCATCATTATTTTCCCCATTTATACTTTTGTGTTGGAACCATGAGAATGAGTACCTGAAGGTTTTGGCAACTCCCTTAAGAGTTTAAGTTACGGAGAAGGGAAAGGAGCAGACATTTATTAAGTACCTCCTGTGTGCCAAACACTGTGCCGAGTGCTTTACAAATATCTCATGTGATCATCACAACCACCCTGTACTTATCCCCATTTTACAGATGAGGAAACTGAGGCAGACAGAGGTTAAATGACTTGCCCAGTGTCACACAATTGGTAAATGTCTGAGGCTGAATCTGAACTCAGATCTTCCTGACTCCAGGTCCAGCTCCATCCACTATACCACCTAATTGCTTACTTACCTGGAAGTTCCCTAGTTCAAGGAAATCACAGGTCCTTGTACCTATCCTTTTAATTACATGAAAAGTACAAAGTCTTACAAACCTTGTAGATGATCAGTAATCGAATTGTGTTTCTCCCCTTATTTCTGAAAGTGGTGGATTTTATAATACCTTAGTATTTGTTTGTTTGTTTGTTTTTCCCTTTATAGGTGATAAACCTCTCTGAAAAGAGATATGACCTTACGAAGCTTAACCCAAAGGTATGGGCTTTATTCCCAATAACCTTCATTCAAACTACTTCAATTTTTGAATGCTGATCTAAGATACCTGTTTTGTGTTTGTATAACAGACCTGCCCATGTGATTGCTGCTTTGCCTAATTCTCCTAATTTAATGTGTTTTGTGATTCTGTGTTTCCATTCTTCTTTTGTGGATATTTTTGTTATTAGATAATTTTGCCACTTCCCATTTGTATTCTATTCCTTGGTTTTTAAATAGTATAGTGTGTGTGGACAATTGTGTTTTTCTGACTGAGATTTCAATTTGATCAGAGGAGTTTGGGGCAAACCCCTAAGCCAGGGGTGGGACATCTAAGTTCTTAAGTATAGCCTTTTGACTGAATCCAGCCTTCCCAGAACAAATCCACTTAATAAAAGAATTTGTTCTATAAAATTCGGACTCAGTCAAAAGCCCACACCCAAAGACCTAGAAGGCCACAGATTTCCTACCCCTGTGGCCTAAGCCAATGCTTCCTATTCCTACATTCTTCTTTCTCTGTGCCCATACCTAGATATCCCTGAACCGTTAATAGCCCTGAAAGAACATACTTAGAACTGGCATACCACATTCAGAAATATTGAGAAGGCCTTTGAAGGGATGTTTTGTTGGCATTACCGAACACTTTGGTATCTTTTGGAAATGGAAGCATGTTTCTCCTTATTCACATTAGCAATAAATTCATGAAGTGAACCTGTAATCCAGAGTATAGTGAATGTTGCAAAAATGTTGCTTCAGTAATGAGCGAGTAAATATAACTTTTTTCTCCTAGATTATGGATGTGGGTTGGCCTGACCTCCATGCCCCTCCCCTTGATAAGATGTGTACCATCTGTAAAGCTCAAGAGACATGGCTAAACAGTGACCCTCAGCATGTAGTGGTCATTCACTGCAGGGTAAGCAAGAGACATTATACATTGTTCATTTGAGTTCAATTCAATTTTAAATAAAAAAATTCAGTTTTATCCTAAGGAGAAATGAATGGAGCTCATGGTTTATGTTTCGCCACCACCCCCATCCCCACCCCACCATGTTTGGGGGCGACAAGAAAAGTAGCAGTCTAGGTGATAATTAATTTACAACAAGGTTCAAAACACTTCCACTCTCCTTCCTTTGACATTCTTTAGAAATGGTTTCTGGCTCAGTGGATGGAGCATTGGACTTCAAGCCAGGGAGAACTGAGTTCAAGTCCATCTTTAAACACTTACTAGTTGTGTAACTCTAAGCAAGTCACTTAACTCTTCTGTGCCTCAATTTCCTCACTTGTAAAATGGGAGTTATCAGAGCCCCTACCTTGGAGGGTTATTGTGAGGAAAAATGAGGTCATATTTATAAAATATTTTGTAAACTTTATGACACTATATAAATGTTGGTTCTCACTTTATACTTGGCTAAAGAAAATGAAAAGAGGAGGCATGGTATAGTGGAAAGAACATAGGCTTTAGAGAAAGAGGACTTGAGTTCAAATGCTGCGTCCAGTATTTCTTACCTGTGTGACTTTGCTCAAGTCCCTTCCCCTTTTTGTAACCTTTTTTTCTTCATCTGCAAAATGAGTTGGACTGTGTGAGCACTTCTCAAACTTTTCTTTTTATATTCTTAAAAATTATCAAGGTCCCAAGTGAACTTTTAGTTATGTGGGTTATATTTCTTGATAACTGCTATTTTAAAAATTAAAACTGTTACATTAAAAAAAGAGTTACAAGATGTCCCAAAAGTCTTAGTGTAGTTTTAAGCTATTAGAGCCTAAGAGTGGCATTGTTTTACATAATCTTGCAGTCTTTTTAATGTCTGGTTTAGTAAGAGACAGTGGGATTCGCATATCTGCTTCTGCATTCAGTGCATTGTGATATGTTTTTTTGTTGAAGCATATGAAGAAAGTCCAGTGTCATACAGATAAGTAGAAAAGAAAGGAGTAGTTTTTCTTTTTAAGCTTATATATTTTTTAAAAATCATGTCTTTTTTTGGTTTATTTTTAGCACTTTTTTTTAAAAAAAGATTTGAGTCCCAAATTCTCTCCCTATCTTTCCCCCTCCCCAACTCACTGAGAAGGCAAGCAATAAAATATCAATTATTTTTTGTTGTTAGGTCATTTCAGTCATGTCAGACTCTTTGTGACCCCACTTGGGGTTTTCTTGGCAAAGACACTGGAGTCATTTGCCATTTCCTTCTCCAGCTATGATATCATTTATGCATGTGAAATCATGCAAAATGTATTTCCATATTAGCCATAGCACCAGAAAATCCCAAGAAAAATAAAGTGAGAAAACTGTATTTCAATTTGCACTCATAGTTCATCAGTTCTCTCTATAGAGGGGGATAGCATTTTTCATGAGTCCTTTGGAATTGTCTTGAATCATTGTATTGATCAGAGTAGCTGTGTCATTCACAGTTGGTAATTATTACAATATTGCCATTACTGTGTACAGTGATCAACGGAGGAGTATCTTAACAGGCAAATGATATCTTAGTATGATTTGGAAGATGGTTTTGCCATCATGACCCTCTGAAAGGATCTTGAGGACCCCCTGACATCTGTGAACCATAGTTTGAAAATTGCTGGACTTAAGGTTTGCTAAGGTCTCTTCCAGGTCTAAATTTAACAATAATAATTGGGCTGTGCTTTCCAAATGAGCTTTATAGGTGACACGAAGGTTTACGAAGCCTTGTGATGATGATCTGTTTGTTTAATCAAACAAAGCAACCCTCTAATACTGCCTTATGAATTTGAGGGCCAAACATGTTACAACAATGTGGGTCGTGTATGTGTGAGTGAGTAATTGCGTGTATCCAAGGTAGGTTTGTCTAGCCAGGTAGTTTAATAATTTTAAAAAGTTGTTTTAAGGAAACTTTAAAAAAATAGAAGGTACCTGTTGATAACTAGTAATATGTTCATTGCCTCAATTGAATTGTTCAGAATCTCTCCCTTCAAATTTTGCTTTCATATTAGAAGGACATTTATATCATACTTAAGTAGGTTTATTGCATCTTTATTTGTGTGTGATTGTAGGTACAGTGCTTAGTAATTCTGCAGTAAAAGTGTAGTCTTTAGTAAAGTGAACCAATATTCTAGAGAATTATATTCAGTTCAGCCATCTTGACTAAATATAGATTATGTGCAATATAATATAGATTATGTGTTAGATGAAATATTCAATGTGACTCTTTCAAGGGATTTACATTCTTATGTATTCATTTCTTCACATAAAGGTGAGTTGCTGTTATTATTCATTATCTATTACTAGATGCTCTGCTAAAAGAGCAGGCACAGGATGGGACAGCCTTTAGAGGTCCAATGGGATTATTGTTCAGTTGCCTAAAGGAACTTGTTAATGAAAATTCAAGATGAGAAAAAAAAAATCAGTGCCCTGCATGCATTTTCTACTATCATAGGCCATTGGAAAGTAGATAATTTTATACTCCTACTTAAAATATCCTCTCTTATTTCCCCTCATCCCCTCTCCTATCTCTTCTGCTCCTTTTTTCATCTTTCAAGTGCACAATGTCTTCATGTTCTCACTTTGGCCTCCTTTTACACATTCTTTAATTTTCTGTGTAAATCCTCTGAGAAAGTCAGTGTGACATCTTAGTTAAGTGGTAACAATTTATGGATTCAAGTATTTCATATAAAAGAGTATTTTATCTGTAGACTTAAAACTCCCTAGGGGAATTTGCATTTAAAAGGAATGACTAACCCAAGTAACTGTCATTTGCAAGTTTTCCCAGTGTTTGCCATGCTTTCCCTGTCCCCCCCCCCCCTCACTCAACTAACCCCACGTAAGAGTATTACTTCTCAACTTTTAGGAGGTCATGAAATCCTAAGTATAATAGTGGGACAGTGAGACTCTGAGAGGACATGTGGATTGTTCAATACCCATGTGAGTGCAGATTTTTAGAGACTTTACCACAAAGATTTTGAGACCTATTGAAATTAATGAGCCAATTTTGTAACTTCTCAAATGAAACTGAATTAAGTTTTATCAGCATTTTTAACATACTATTATTTATTGTTGATTCCATTATCTATTACAGGTAATGTAGGACAGCCCAGTGCTGCCAAACCAGATGTAATTGGAAAATTTTTAACAAAATGAATAAAAATACCGTAGAACATAGATAATGTCAGTGTGTGGTTCTCTAAGGCAATATCCAGCACTCGGGAGGAATGCTTAGGTTTGGTTTAATAGCTGCTAGCACTCTCATTTCTATTTGATACCACTCATCAGTTATATTATGGGACAGTTATATTAAGGGCCACTATGTGGCTCAGTGGATCGAGTTCTGGACCTGGATTCAAGAGGTCCTTAGTTTAATTCCAGCCTCTGACCCTTACTCAAGGCAAGTCACTTAACTGTTGCCTGCCTCCCTGGTAGAATGGGGATAATAACAGTATTTACTTCCTGAGTTTGTTGTGAGGATAAAATGAGCTATTTCTAAAATGTTTTGCAGACCTTCACATGTTACATAAATCCTACCCATCTGTTATAAAATATGGAGGAAAAAAAATTGGACTGTTTCTTTTGCTTCTCCCACATCTGTTTCCATTGACTCTCTTCTCTTTGGTCCTCTTGCAAATCAGTTAATCAGTCGATCAATAAACAAGAGCATATGCATGCTCCTTCAAAACCACATGCATTCAGCTGTGTGACCCTGGGCAAGTCACTTAACCCCAGTTGCCTAAAACAACAACACCAACAACACCACACGTGCATTCAGGCAGATTTTCTTTCAGAAATTTACATATTCTTACAAGCAAAAAAAGAAATAAATAGGTTTTTCTAATTTAAAAAAAATAAATGGCATAATGATCATTGGGCTTATCCTCATCAGTTTTAGGTTTGGAGCTTTCCCTCCTTTTCTGTTCCTTTTTAAAAATAACTATTTAAATCTATTATGCATTTTCAAATTGCATTCTTAAGATTGTTCATTCCTTTTCACTTTCTTACCTCAGCTGTATGTGAAATAAATTAGCCTGAATATTACTTAAAAAGAATAAATCGGTATAATAGCTGATGGATTTACTGTCTGGTGCCTTTAAAACACTTGCTTGCCCTGAACAACTGTTCCTTTTACCTCTAGACAAAACTTGTTGGGTGAATTAATAGGAAACATGTTAAAACTCATAAAAATGATTTATCACTCATTTGTACTGGTGTCATGTAAACTATTTAATAAGTTTTGGAAACATTTAGAAAACAAACCATGAAAGATTTGTTCACCTTTAATTCAAAATTACTGGCATTGGCTTTAACTGAGGCTTGTCATAAATCATAACTGTTGGATAAAATTGCTGATACCTGGCAAAATTCTGTGCTTTCCAGAGTGACTATCTCACAGACATCATGCCAGAAATTGTTAAGATAGTTAAGCTTGTCTTGGCTTGGATATGCTAAGAAATGGACAGATTTTTACTACTACCTGATAATTCTTTCTTAATTTAGTGTAAATGATGGATATTTTTCCCTCTTTTCCCTACCCTCCAGCTTTTTATCTGTGTTATTGATTGAGAAGAAATACATACACGTATATGTTTTCACTCACTATAATTATAAGTTTTCACTCAATGTAATTATAAGTTTTCACTTAGAGAACCTAGTCCCCATGAAGCACTTATTTCTTAGTCATTTATATTGAGGTGAGCTTTGAGAAATTGTAAAATAATTTATCATAAGAATATTGTCTATATATATACTAGTTTCTAGTGTTTCAGATCAGATTTCACCAATTCAAAAATATGGCTAGCTCTGTGAGCTCAGGCAAGTTATGTAAATCTTTCTGAATCTTAACTTTCTACCTTGTAAAAATGAAAATGAATAATGCCTTCCCTGCTTACCTCAAAGGGTCATGGGGAAGATCAAATTGAGAAAATGGTTGTGAATCTCTTTATTATAGTAAGTGGGTATACCACTTATATATGAACTGCAAGGAAACAAAAGGGAGCTCACATTTTTCCTTTTAAAAATTTCTTTTTGTTATTGTTTTTTGCTTTTTTGAATCATATTTATTATTTCAGTTTTTGGGAAAATTATGACTTGCATTTTCTTTCAAGGAAATGAACCTTATCCTGTTCAGTCCTATTTGAGTTGAGATTTAGGTGAACATTTAGTGATTAAAGCTGAACGCAAAGAAGCACATTACTAAGAATAATTCCAAAAGCAACCCTCCAAATTGAACTCTGTTTTCCAGTAAGCCTTCATTCATTCATTCATTCATTCATTCATTCATTCATTCATTGGTAAGCAGCAAAGCATAGTTTTGGCTTCACAGTTAGGGGTGACTATATATGGTAAAATATCACTTGCACATTTTTTTCTGAATTTCAGTATGAGGTTAGGCATATGATGTTTTTATACACATGCTTTTCTTCAGTAAATTATTTGGCATCAATGAGATCTTGGCAGACCTTGAAGTACCATGGGAATGGGACAGAGTAGTACTAGTATGGTGGCATTGTAACTGGCTGGAGGTACAAGGATGAATAACCCATTTTCCCTCCCCTCTAGGAGCTTACATTATAGAGGGGTTGGTAAGACATTTACTCAAATACATATTAACTATGTTAGAATATTGTAAAGAAACAGGAGTAGAAAAATCAATGAAAATAAGGCCTGTAGTTATATCTAGGGACAGAGAGTTGTAGAGTGAGTCAGAGTGCCCAAAGGTGTTCTTGGGGTCATCATCACATTGGTCTGCAGATACTTTGGAGCCTGTCCCTAAGGTGAGATGGTTTTAACTCTACCAAGTTTGTGCCCTGTGCATAGTTCTCATTCTGACCAGTAAGGGGTGCATTACCTCTGGACATGAAACTGAGTAGATTGCTGTCAGTTTTCTTGAGCTATAAATTGATATTATTTTAATTAGCAGCATATTGGACTTTGTTGCTCAGCCTCTCCAAATGCCCTCAATTAACAGCTGCTCTGGATTTCTTTCATTGGTTTAAAAAGCCTCTGTTACCAGTGTAATAGTATAGAATTAGAGGCTGATTTTCTTCTCCCTGTACAGACGTAGAATATCAGAGCAGCAACCCCAAGTGATTAGTAATTCCCAAAGATCCAACTTTGATTTCATCTCTTAAGCATGATCTACCTTTTAATTTGTGGAATGTATAGGGCACTCTCTAGTTTACAGTCAGCTCTACTTCTCATTTCAAGATAAAGATATATTAATTCATTCCCTCAGGGTGGAAAAGGACGGATAGGAGTTGTCATATCATCGTACATGCATTTCACCAACGTTTCTGCCAGGTAAGGGGAAAATAAAATAAAAGATATTTTTTCTGTTTATAATGTAATCTTCTGGAGGGAGAACTGGGTATCAACAGTCCTGGCTTCTAGCTTCAGGCTTGCTATTAACTGACATTGTGGTGTTGGGTAAATGTTTGTGGCTCCCTAGGTCTTAGTATCTTCATTTGTAAAATAATGGGGTTGGACTTGGGGATCCCTGAGGTCTTCTGTACTTCTTACTTTCCATGATTCTACTATCAGAAAATGGATAAAGCTGACAATTGATTTCAGCCATAGCATTCTCTTCCATTTCAAGTACAGAGTGTGGTACTGTTTCTGAATCACATATTTGTGAAAATGAGTTCTCTATTTTAACACTTTAAAAATGTGGAAATTTACCAGTTTCATAGAGGTGCTGGAAATGATTTAAGAGCCTCTGTTCATGTTTTAGAATGACGATTGCGTAAAAAAAAAGCAACGAGACCAACTCCCGTGCGTTGCTAGAAGAAATCAGTCTTACCAACCAAGTCTTGATTTGTTTTTGAAATCTCCTTTTCTGGTGTTGTAGATCCAGGGTATGGCACACATATTTGGAAAAGTAATAGGATGGTGTGCGTATGCACATGTATGTACATGTATGTATACACACACTCACCAATTACTGACTCATGCTTTAGGATGGAGCTGAAAGCTAAAAGAGTTGTGTCCTACACAACTATGGTGTGTCATTATCTCTATCTGCTTTTACTTAAGAGATGATGATGACCCCAAAAAGCAATATTTGAGAATTGGAGAAAGGGTATGGCTCAGCTAAAGATTGTCATATGTTCTGGGGGGCTCCAAGTAGGGAGTTAGGGAGTGGTAGAGATATGGTTGTGGTGCAAAAGACCAGATATAAATGATGTATTTATAAAGTATTTATGAATTTCTCACTTCTAATGACAAAACAAAATCAGTCTAAATTACTTTTGTCAGTTTTAATTTTTCACAAATATCCTTTTTGTTATTTAACATACATCTGTAATAAACCAGGAGCCTTTTAATCATCTTCTCTGCTCATACAGCCTTTACTTTGTATCCAAAAGAAGAACTATAAGACCATTCATATAGTGGTGATAACTATTTCCCTTTTTCCATTAAGAAGTGAAATTTGACTTTCAAAGTGTTTTTTCTAGAAACAATTTTTTTCCTGCCTTGGAGAAAAACTAATCCCTACATTTCCTAAATTTCCTGACTGGTATAGCCAAGTGAAAATGAGCACCCCACTTATTGGTGAGAATAAACATTTGTGTATGGGCCGGGCCTGTTAATATTCCTGGTCACCTTGAGTCAGTCATTTAATACAAATATGTTTGTCAAAGAGCAGATTTTACGTGGAGGAATTTGGAGAGATAGACCACCCTCAATATTCCTGCCAGGCTGTGACAAAATATAGTTTTGTGTGGTACTTGAGCTCCATATAGTCTGGGTAATTCTCACACCTATAGGAATGCTCATGAGCTTTGTCTGTTTCCTTTGGCCAAATGCCTATATTTTTAAAACTTACAATTTTAAATCAGTGAAGGAAGTATCAGGAATTTTTATACCAGTCTCTGAGTATGATTCTACAACAACCTTTGAGTTCCATTAGCACCAGTAAAGGGAACACTCCTGTGTAGAAAATCACCATTTTTGGAAGTGTTCAACTGTCCATCTTCAATTGTACAGCTCTTTTGACATTTTTTAATTGAGTCTTATAACTTCCCAAAATCTTCTGCTAGTTTTTTTCACTTTCTCTTAGAATGACACATTATAGTAGGGGGGAACAGAATCAGGTGAGGGCTGGAAGCTGACTTCTGGAAATTCCTACCTTCTATCCAGATCAATTTGTGTCTTATAATGAGGCATACCTGCGTGAGGGCTCAGTATCTAAACTTTTGTACTTCTAGGCTGGCAGGTATTGATAGTGCAAAAAAATAATTATCAGATTATTCAGGCTTCGTTTTATAAGTTTTTTTCTCAGTCCTCTACCAGTTCCTAGGACTATTTTTTTTTTGGTGACTTTTTGTTAAACAGATGCTGAGACAGCTCCTTTCCCCCCACCAGCAATGCTGGAGGAGTCTATTCTAGCATCTCAGTAACAAAATTTGTGAACTTGCTTCACATCCTACTCATTAGCAGTGAACTTGGGTCCAAGAAAATGTGCTTCTATGGATTTGCTATTTGGTGGTAACTTGAAAACAAGCGTCATTTGTCTTAGTTTGATTTTATATTCGTCTCCTCCATAATGTAGCTAAATGGTAATCTCTTAGTTAAACAAATAACAGAAAGGGATGTGTGATTATCAATTCAGATTTTTAGTAATCCCCAGGAACTCCCTTTACATCCCAAATTATACACGTTCCTTTGGTATAAGAGCATCCTGAGCAGTGAAGTTTTTATACTACATCTTTGGTGGGGGTGGGCAAGTAGGAGGGAGCAAAGCTTCTCTGCACATGGTCCAGTGGGGTTTGTATTTGATTCAGAACAGCAGTAATGCCTTCAATTTGTGGAAAAATACAATTCTGATGACATGTTTTCTGCTACACCTATAGTGCTGACCAAGCTCTCGACAGATTCGCAATGAAGAAATTTTTTGATGATAAAGTTTCAGCTTTAATGCAGCCATCCCAAAAAAGGTATGTGACTTTTTTTATTATTAGGATAATTATCAATGCAAATAGTTTTCCTTAATATTTTAAAATCTTTCTATTATGCATTATATAGCATATATATACACATACATATATGTATATGCATACTATACATAATATTTTTAAAATTTATTCAAACACACACATATATGTATGTGCATGTATATATATATGCATACACACACACACACACACACACACACACACACACACACACACACACACCCCATACTGATTTTCCCATCACAAGATGTAAGAGATTTCTTTCTCTTTTAAGTTCTCAAGTGATATTCCTGTTCTTTGAATCCCTTATTTAAGCTATTCCAAAGCCTCCATCTTTGTGGTACAAGTGTTTGGACACATTGCAGGGCCATTTGGTTTAGATGAAGTAATGTACCATTACAGAAAGGAGATGGGGTTTCTCCTTCTCGGCAATCACATTTTGAGATATAGCGTTAAAGACAGGGACTGGACCTGTGATTTCGCTGTTAATAGGGAATTCCCAGGTGAGGTCACTCCTTCCACCAGCACAACTGTCACATTCTCTGCAAATTATACTCTTAGACAATTTCTGAACACACAGGGTGCCTATGACTTGCCCAGGATCACACAGTCAGAATATACTAGGTAGAACTTGAACCCTAATCTTTTTGGCCTTTTGAAGCCCGTTGGACATTTATTCCAGTATTGATGAAGCCATGTGGGGCATGAAGGAATCGACAGGTGACGCTGTATATGCCATGATTATCATATGGGAATAAGACACTCTTCATTTCCATGGTTCCTTTGGGATTAGTGCCACATATCTTTGTAGCACTATGTGACCCCATCTCTGTGGTGGTGAAAAGGGGCCATAGAACTTAACTTGCATGATGGTAGAGTCCTGCTTCAATTTTTTTTTGATGCGCATTGTACACAATTAATTCTTGATTATCAAATAAGTAAGTGAATAAAAAAAAAAGCATACCTAGAAAAATCAATTGGAAGTTAAATTACTTGGCATTTCATTTCCAAAAAATAAGTAAGCTACTAGAAAGTGTCCTTTAGTAGTTGAATTCCTGGAAATTGATTCCTAGCAAATAGAAGGCCTCAGCTAGTGGATCATCTGTGCCAATATTCAGGGGCTTAAATCTTGCTCTAAGTAATCATTTAAGTAAATCAATCTTTAAATAAGCAGAGTACATTAATTAGCTTTGAGGTTCTGGCTGAGGACCTCGATGTGCTTATCCTGTAGCTTACACAGCTGTTGTTGATATTTAAAATAACAAGAGAGTCCTTGGAGACTTTAAATATTAATAAATATTTAGTCTTGCCAGTTCATTATTCATTAAGCATATTGACTGGAAACAGTCCTTTATTAAATTTCATACACCTGTAAAGGGCACCTATCAGATCCAGAGTCAGGCACCATGGGAGCCAAGTCAATAATGGCCCCTTTTGAATGACGTGTTTTCCAACAAAGCTCTTTTGCAATGGATGTTTCTCTCTCTCTCTCTCTCTCTCTCTCTCTCTCTCTCTCTTTCTTTCTCTTTTTAGCATCGTGCCCCCCCCTTTCCATAAACAGTATATCACCATGAGAACCAGCTTGTTCAAACACCATGACTGTGACCCACGCCACCTGGTGATATTTGCTGTTATTTTGACCAACAGCTATTTTCATAGCTGATATACTTCTGTCATACACATACCCTCGAGTCTTCTCTACTTTGATAAGAAAGAAAAAAATTAATTTTCCTTTTTGTTCACAATTTACCTTCAGCAGACTGGAAAATAACTTAGGTAGATTTTGTATTCATCTTCTTATAGAGCTCAACATTAGGAGATGATGTAGTATAGTGGAAAGGGGACCACACTGAGAATCTGGATACTTGGTTTCTGTCTCTGCCACTAACTGGAGGACCTAGGGAAATCCACTTAACATCTAGGCTTTTGTATTGCCTCATCCACAAGTTGTCTTTCTTCATATGCAAAGAAGAGGGAAAGAGTATGAAGCTTCCTAATTCAGTGAGTTTCCTGCTAGTTAGGATATGGATAGGGACCAGACCAATTTTTTTGGTATAGGGAACTCCAAGGTGAGGATATTCCTTGAACACAATGTGGGTCACCACCTGTTATATAAACTTATAGTCTTAGAGATTTGCGTAGAGTATTGAGAAGTAAAGTACCTTTCCTAGAGTCATGTTGCCAGTACATATCTGACTTGGGATTTGAACCCAGCTCTTCCTGACTTCAAGGCTGGTTCTCTATCTACTTCGCCATTCTGGCCTCTCTCTGTTAACATATTCTGTTGCTTTACTAGGCGGAAACAGGAGAAGTAGTTGTCAATCAGTCAACAAACATTTATTAATCGCCTATTGTTTTCCAAGCACTGAGTTAGTCACTGGGGATTCCAAGGCCATCTTTTCATGCAAGTTTTTTGGGTACTAATGTAGCATTGGCATGGCAGTTTCCAATGATAGCATGTCTGGAGGAATTCTGTGACTCATTTTTTTTTAACTGAGGAAATTGAAAATGGAAAGGTTGCTTCTTAATTGTACTCTACATTTTCATTCTCCTCAACAAACACACACAACACACATACACACACACAATTATTTTAGGAGTTATGCTAGTTTTCACTGTACTTTTCTTATCTGTAGATTCTTCTTTTTCGTTTCTCTTATGATTAGTGCAGTGATAACAAGATAACTATATTAATGTCTATATCAATATAATCTATAATTCTATATGGATATATGTTAATAATGAGATATTTAGTTATGTAGTTATGTAGATGTGTGTTTTTATATGATCTTCCTTATGACTAATGCTAATGATAACAAGATATATGGACAGATATAGAAGAAGATGGCTAAAGATATCAGAGATAGATGAATAGATGGATAGATAGATGGCTATAGATGGATGATGATAAAAGAAAAATAGATCATAGAGATAGATATAAATAGATAAGATGTATAGATATAATCTATATGTAATAATATGGGAAGTATATAAATATATCTCTGTATATCTTTTTATCATTATCATCAGTATAAGAGAGACCGAAAGAAGAATCTATAGCCCACAATCAAATAGTAAAACCTAGCGTAACTCCCAAAATCATACATCCTATTATTTCTTTTGACCATTGACCAAGCCCTTCTCCTGAATAGTCTTCCTAGACTCTGAAATGATTTGCCAGATGGTATTGATTCGGCCTCCATAACATTACCTGTTTTCTCCCTTGTGTCCACTCAGATGGCTACTACCTATGTAGGGATCTCTGTGCCTTCTTTCTGATATCCCCACTCTGTCTCCTCCTTCTCAAAGCCTTACTTCATTCTGTTGCAAAAGTAATCTTCCTAATACAGAGAACTTAACCATTTTACTACTCTATCCAAAAATCTTTTTTGATTCTTCATTTCTGCTCAGATAAAATTGTTGCATTTAAATCCCTCAAGAATATAATCTAACCTGTCTTTCGTGACATATAATATCATTATCCGTCAGGCCTGCCACATATCTAGTCAGCCCACTTAGTGTTTTTCAAACTCCTTCTTCCTCACCTCAGCCTTTTAGAATCTTTATCTTTGTCTCTTAGTGTAGGTGGAACTGTTTTCACGAAGCCTTTCCTGATCTTTGACATACGTCTCTCTCTTCAAATTATCTTGTATTTAAATATTTGTAAAAGTATATCCTCCCAGTAGAAAGAAGTGCCTTGTTGGGAGGATCTTGTTCTTTGTGTCCTTCCATTTACAATGCCCAGTACCTTATATGTAATAAGTAGGCAATAAATAATTATTTGTTGCATTGAATAGCATTAAATTCTTGCTGTCATAGAAGTAGACCCAGGTGGGCTGAATTGCCAGTGGTGTGAGAGATATGAAAAAATAACAATCCAAGTTTACCTTTAGAGATAACAGCAATGAAAATTAGCCCTGCATCCACTATTTAAAATTAAAATATTGACCCCCCCCTCCAAAGTCCCTTAAAAAACTGGGTCTGATCAAACAATTGGTTTATAAGATTAATCACTAGAAAATAAACTTTTGCAAATAACGCGTGACCAAAAGGTTTACCAAAGCTCTTTGAAGACATTGAATGTTTCCCCCCTACCATATGCCAAGTGGCTAGCAATATCCCTAGCACACAAAGAGAGCTTCTTGTTGAATTGAATTCTTTTTTAAAAATTCTGCCTCTGACAATGGGCTGTATTCCAAATTTCATTTGTACTTCAGATATTTCTTAACATTTTAAATAAGCAGTAGCAATAGCAATAATAAGTTTTTAAGGTTATCAAGGTATTATACCTATATTATCTGTTTTGATTCTCACAGCAACCCTGTGTGATTGGTACTATTACTATCCCATTTCACTAATGGGATAACTGAGGCTGAGGGCATTTAAGTGATTTGCCCAGGGTCACCCAGCTAGCAAGTGTCTGAGGCAGGATTTGAACTCATATCTTCTTGACTTCAAGTCCAGCTTTATCTACTACACTACCTAGCTGCATTTGTGAGCTGGCCTGAGAAAATATGAATTCTTTATAACTTAGATTCTATGAGAAAATGAATTTGGGTTTTTTACGAAAAAGTCTAAAAATTAGAAACCCTTACCTCTTTTCCATTCCCTGTTATCTCTACCTTCTTACTCAACGCAATCTGGGTGGTAGAAGAAGCTCCCTTCATAAAGTTCCATTGTCAAAAAAAAATCACACATTCTACCACTACACTAGTGGGCTCTTTCCTGATACTGTCCCTAAAATCAAAGCAGATTTTCCCCTACCCTTGTGGTGAAATAAAGACCTCTTTTTATACTCTGAGTATGAGAGATCTGACTTTAGGGATTAATGATCCCTAAGGACTTTTCATTGTTGAAAGAAATATGGTTAGCTGTTTCTAGTTCAGCCAGTGCTTTTAGAATTAAGACTGATTTTGGGAGGTGAAAGTGACCTTAAAAATCATATAGATGAACTCACTTATTTCAATGATGAAGAAAAAGGCCTGGAGAAGTTATATGATTTGCCCAGAGGTATTACAGCTCCTTCAAAGCTTCTTAAGAAAACATTGTCCTTAACCATCCCTCTCCTTCTTTAGGGAAAACAGAGCTAAATAGTGCTATGATAAGTTTCCATTTTTCTAAATGCAAAAGCTCATTCTTTATTCCCACTAGTCTGATTCTTGCCTGAAGAAGTAGGTCTGTGTATAATTTTAGACTAGGAAAATGAGTTATTTCACATGTAGTTGGTGCTAGAAAGTTACTGTAAAGTGAAAAGCAAATTGACTGTCACTGATATAATAAAAATGCAATTCGGTATAGTATCAGAAAGATAATAAAATAAAGGCACTTTCCTGAAAGGACTTTAGCTAGTGCTATCTAAGAATGGATGAATGGCCCCATAATCTAGTTTATTTGAGATATTAAAAAAGAAATGTGGCTGACCACCTGTCCAGGGTACTGAAGGCAGAGTTTCCTCACAGGGAAACATTAGATGATAACATTCCTATGGTCCCTCTGAACTCTAAAATTCTCTGACTTAAACACAGAATCACTTAGATTGCTTTTAGTGTAGACCAACAATGTTAACAGAGAACTTAAAATGAAAAATGCTGCCCACCTCCTGACCAAGAGAGAATGGACGAAATATGCAGAATGAGACATATATTCTTGGGCAAAGCCAGTGTGGGCATTTATTTTCTTAAAATGCGTATTTCTTACTAGGATTTTGTTTTTAATTGAAAAAACTGTTTTAAGGAAATTAAGTAGTACGTTAATTCCTTATATAATTTAGGTGATTTTCTATTCTTATGTTTCTCTTCAAATGTATAATAATTATTCTTGCTGTCTTTCAAGTTGCAATATGACAGGCAGGAATGCTTCTGGTTACAGAAACTGGCAAAATATCATAGAAATTATCAGCATTCATAGCTAGCTGGTGCTTGTGTAAATAAGCCACAAGATTTTTGAAACCCTAACATTTAACATTATATTCTATCTTATGATTAATATATTATTATATGTAATATACTTAATATAATATATAATAATGTAATTATATTACTTCCATTACTAGCTGTTCAACTGTGGACTTTCCTTTGACTTTTCTGAGCCTCATATGGCTTCCTAAATCTATTACATTAAGAGTTGGGTCTTGATGTGTGTTTCTGTAGGGCGCCTTCCCTACCTCAACAAAATAATTGATCCTTGACACATGTTGATTATTCTTAGTCTACTAATAATGTATCAGTCCAAAGATAAGACTGTAAATAATAATAAAACAGAAATTATTTAGTAATAACAATATGTAACATTTAAATATGTATATAGTACTTTAAGGTTTGCAGAATATTTTATAAATCTTATTTTATTCTTAACTGTAATCTTTGATGAAAAGTGTTATTGCTATATTCATTTTATAAATAAAGAAACTAAGTCACATAATAATTAAGTGATTAATCTAGGGTCACACTGCTAGAAAGTATTTCAGTCTGCCTTTGAACTCTGGTCTTCCTGACTCCAGGTCCATTGCTCTTTCTGCTGTACCACCAAGCTACTTCCAGGGTAGGAGCAGATATATGCGCTCACGCGCGTGCACACACAGACACAGACACACACACATATATGTAAAATATCTTTGGGCATCTCAATAATTATTCATGTTAATACAAATGAGACTGAGTCATCATGAAAAGGTTAATCATTCTCAATATATTTGGATTAATAAAATTGTGAGTGTGATTTATATTAGAAATATTTTTGTCCCAAACAGTATGTGTATGTATCAAGATAGACATAGATATGTACATATCTATAGCTGTATATTTGATTTGTTGCTTAGGCAAGTAAAGGTCAGATATTTGGAATTTTCATTTATATATGTGATCATTTGTAATGATAGCAGATCAGTGAAGAATTCTCATGGTGAAGTTGGAAAAAGCATATATTTCAGGCAATAGTTGAATTCCACAGAATTCCACTTGAAAGAACAGATGAGTTTACTTATATTTACTCTTAGAACTGCAAGAAGAATGAGACAGTATGACTTTGCTGTCATTATATCTTTCTCTGTTATGCCAGGAGCCTATATAATTTTCCAAAGTACCTTTCCAGTTTTACTCTGGCTTTTGGAACCCAATGAATTTTCTAACTAATTTGAATATTACATGGTTTTCAGATATGTTCACTTTCTCAGTGGTCTTCTCTCGGGATCTGTGAAAATGAATACCACACCACTCTTTCTGCACTTTGTAATTCTCCATGGCATCCCCAACTTTGATACTGGTGGAGGTAAGTGGGTGGGGACTTACTTTATCTAGGAGGATGTTTTATTACTCATGTTTTAGATGTAATAAGTATGGTGGGACAGGCAGTGTTGCATAATGGAAAAAGTCAGGCCCACCCTTTAATGTACTGGCTGTTGGTATGATGGGCAACCCCATATTTTCCCTGATAACACTCTAAAGACTAAGTTACAGAGAAGTTGCTGATCCGGACTGTTGGAAGTAGTCCCTTAAACTGATGAAATCATAGATATAGACAAAAATAGGTGGTAGACCTACCTCCAGTAATGCCTTATTTAATTCTTCATTATTGTGTGGAGGTGAATTGGGCTCTTGAAACTTATGTCTGTTAAATGTACACTCAGTCAGTTCCTGCCAGTCTTGAAGCTTTGAGCATGGGTCTGGCAATCAACTTGTCATTCCAATAACTTGTTCAACAAAGGTTTAAGAGGCTTATTCCCAGAAGGTTGGCTGCCAGGTGATGATTTTATTTTTGGCCAGAACATCCTAAGAATCTGTCTAATACGGCAAGGAGGGGTTGCAGTCTGCATTGGTGGGATGAGTAAATCTCACTAGTAAAACCACAGATCTTTTGAAATGTATGATGATGGAATTCCTTTACTCAAACTAAAAACAATCCTCACTTTTCTGCTCTTTGAGGTTCAAGTGGTTAATGTTCAGAATCAAATCCTAGGGAATTCTGCATATTTTCTTGGTGTCATTTGTGTGAGAACAACGCTCCATTCCTTTTATGCCCTTTTGATTTGGTCTGCTTGCTCATCTAAAGAATTAGGCCAGTGACCGATTCTGAACTCTGTCTTGGAAAGGTTAATTAGTAAGCTAAGCTTGTGGTCAATTAGTTCAGTAACATGAAGTGCAAGTTAAGTCTTTTTTGAGCCAGTTTTCTTTTCCTCTGTGGGCATATATTAACCTCCTCTCCCTAGACAGCTGTCTATAACAGTTTTATGCTTTTTTGGCTACAAAGGAGATCTGGCAAAAAGTGAGTGTGGATGAGCCCACATCCATCATGTTAGTACCCCCATATTTGTATGGAAACTAGGACATTTTCACCACTGTCAGGGTATAATTTAGATAATGAAGAATCATGTTTTTAGTAAGTTATAATATTTTCACTCTTCTTGGCTGATAATTAAGATGTTCTTCCACCCTTTTTACCATTGGGCCCATCTGAAAAAAGCCTTGGAAACCCTCCTTGCCCTGCCTTGTACATAGAGTTCCAGGACATGGTGCTACCTTTTCCCACCTAACCCCGCCTTCCATAGTCTATTGTTGTAGAACTGGAAAAATGCTCTGTGCACAAGAAGGCTTGTGAAATCCCCCTGCATGGGATAATTCCTTGCTGATTGATCTTTCTTGTTAGCTTGCATGATTTCCTAGTTCAAAAGTTTCTTTCCATATAAGTCTGATTTTTTTCCCCCAAAACATTTTGGCTCTTTCAGTTTGCCGACCATTTTTGAAGCTCTACCAAGCAATGCAGCCAGTCTATACATCAGGAATCTAGTAAGTGTTTATGATCTGTCGTCTGTGAATATCTTCAGCTCTTGAGGGATTTTTTTTGGGAAGTCATGCAAAATGATTATACTTTACCTACATGCTTGCTTTCTTAAGAAAGATTTTGAAAGGGGAAAGCCAAAGGTAAATGACCCTCAACAACATCCTCAGTGATCCATCCGTCTGTGCCTCCTTGTGCTCCCTCTTCCCTGCCTGTCTTCGTTCTTTGAGGCCTTATTTTGCTTTATGGGTAACTGCATGCCAAATACTTGTTGCAAAGTATGTGGGGGGGGTGGGGGTGGAGGGTGTACTACTATAAGAAACTAGGGATAAGCAAGTTTGAAAGAATATAAAAATGCAGAAGACTTTTAGACAATTGAGGCCCACTGATTAAAAGAAACAGTGCTATTTACTTCAGTGTTTTGTTACCCACAATGCTCTGACTTATCACTGGCAACCAGAAGTACCAGGAACAGAATGTTCACAGCCTCAGAATCCACAGGATCACTTTGATGTTTATGTCCTTTCTTTATTTAGCAATGTTGGTCCAGAAAACCAAAGCAGAGTCTGCATTGCCATCGAACCAGCCCAGCTCCTAAAGGGAGACATAATGGTAAGTGCTCTAAGATAACAGTCCATTTGAGTTATCTGTATTTTCCAACTGTTGATATAAACATGAAAAAATTGACTTTTTCTTTTTAATGTACAAAAAGAATTCAAAGTGACCTTTACCTTAGACTATTTGGCTTATTTTCTGTGAGAAATTATTTTAATTAAAGAGATAAAACAAACGGTTACTTTAGACTTCCCTGTCATTACATTGGCATCTGGCTTTGGCTTAAGTTTGCATCACATATTACCTTTAAAATTCTGTTACTCATAAAAACATCCATATGTTTGTATTTCTAAAGCAAATTGTTGGAACTTATGCAGGTAGACTTATTTAGTCAACTCCATATCATCTGTGTACAAAAAAGCACTTTCGGAGGAGACAGAAGTGAACAAGACAAAATCCTCAATCTTTAGGTGTTTACAGTCTAGTTGAGTCATTAGTATATGTTTCCAAATAGCTTTTATACTTGGCAGTGAGGTCCTACAGTAGTAAAATTAGAAAAGAACTCTAAACTGACATGGCAGAGGCAGAGGAAATCGATACAACTTCTGATTAGAGGGACGAGGGGAAGGGGGTCAAATCATAGAAAGTTGATCATGATATAGTTTTGTGTGGAAGATGGAAAGTAATTTGAAAGATGACGTGGTGAAAGGACATTGGGAATAGTTGTTCAGAACCAGTAAACCACGTAGTCCATGACAGGCACTTAAAAAGTACTTGGTGCCTGACTGACTGACACACATATGTACATAAATACACATACACTGAAGCAAAGGACGTGAGAATCAAGAAGGCCTGGGTTCAAGCTGTGCCTCTGACACTCATCGGCTCCATGACCATGAGCGTGTCATAACCTCTGCATGTCCTGGATAAATCCCTAGGCTTATGAATTGCAGATAATTTGCCAGTCTTCATTAATAATTATAATCTCCACACCTGGCATCCCATGAAATCACTTATTAAGAAGTAGTTAATTTTATTACGATCTATCAAATATTCAGAACATATCTTTCTCTCAATCATTTCAATTTTTTTTAGTAAATTTTGTCAATTCAAAAGTGAGATCTCCATTATCTTGAGATGAACTATTTTTGACTTGTAGCTTATAATACCCTCCTACCTACCTACATGCATGCATGCATACATACATACATACATACATATATATATATATATATGTAGTTAGGGCTTACTAGCATGGGCTAATGGTGGGAAATTTCAGTTTGAAATAGTGAAAATTGACTATTAGACATTTTATATATATTAATATAGTTTTATATGTGTATAGCTTTCTGTTATTTTCATATAAGTATAGCAAGTTGAGTGAATGTGGCTAACAAAGAATAGGTAACTTCTCTTGTCCCCAGAACTTAACACAGTGTATTTTGGACATAGTAAACACTTAAACGGCTTTCCCAAAATTAGTTAATTAATTAATTGGTTCTGCCATTCATTCTTTCATTCATTCATTCAGTGTCAGTTAGGAAAGGACCTCTTAAAGAACTTGCTGTAATGAATAATTAATAATTTCAAGTTAACATTTAATTTATAAACTGTGTGCTTGACGTGCTTGCAGATATCTTATTCTCTTAAAAAATATACTCATTTTCCCCACAAACTTTTATCATATATAACCTTTTATTGGTAACATCATAAATTTTAGCCTTGTTATTATCAGAAGAATTATAAATGCTAAATTTTTGTGTATAAATAAATAAAAACTTACTGTACAAATTATGGTTAGTGGCCCAGCAACAGTGGACTAAATCTGGGAGTGAGGATGTAGAATTTGGCACAGCAGAGAGAAAAGCATTCATTACTTTTATTTTCTGCCCTGCATGTCCCTGCCCCAAGCCATGTGGCCCTAGGATCTGTGGCCAGGTCCATGTATTTATGTGTTCTTTTGGAATTTTAAAATCATCAAATTTATAACTGGAAAGGCTCTTAGCATTCAATAAAGTTTACTGTGGAAATGGCATCAATTCAGTGAGCTCTCCTAACTTGAAATTTGGTGAATGCCATTTTCATCACTCTTCTGTTTAAATCCAAGGCAGAGAGAATAGCAACCATTATGATGAGGGTGGTGTTGTTGAGTAGTATAACTTAAGCAGTTTTACTTAAGTTTTAAGTAGTATTTGTCTTTTGTGTTCTAAATTTTAAATATGGATTCAGATTTTTAAGATTAGGTAAATACTGAATGAAAATAGACTGATATTTAACTCATATAGAAAACCACTCTGCTTAAAGGAGCCATATTGTATTTTGTGCTTTTTTTTTTCTCTTTTGGTTTGTGGCACAGTGTTGGCACTCTTCAAGGATATTTATGTGTTAATCGGCCCATAAGAGAGTCCCTTTCTCAGCCTGTTAGCACTCCATGCTGGGCATTGGGAATGATCATATTTTACAAAGGAGGCATTCAATCTGGTTATGAGTGCTTGGCACCAGAGTTAATCATACATTTGACCAGTGACAAGTATTCAGTGGTTTCTGAAAATTAAATCCATAGGACTCAGGGACTGTAAGAAAGGACAGAAAAAGGAATTTAAAAGTGAACCATGAAGTAGCCTTAGTACCCGATTGCCGTTCACAACAGACTACACTATTATATATGTGCGAACATTATATGAGAGGAAGATTAAAGGAATACTTCCCATTAGACTGTCCATACCACATATGTGTACCTGAGATTTGGTTTTTTAAGAAACATGATAAATAATTGATGGAAACATTTGGGGCAGGCCAAGAAATGCCAGTTGATGCTTGATAATAGCTAGGAAGCTGGATTTTTATTAGTGACCCCAGGGAGCCCTCATTTTGGCTCATCTTGTGCTGAAAGTACTATTAAACTTGTGGCTGTCAGCAGATCATAAATATATATACCAAATCAATGACTATTGCACAATAAATATGTTTATTTTTCTAAATGTCATTCTAAATCTTGTCTCAAGTTCAATAAGTATTGTATTTTGCAAGACTAATTAGTAAGCTCTTTTTGAGCAAGTAGTGGCAGCTTTTTCATATTCTAAGCATGTAATCACTGTATTTCTGTTACTGAGTTGATAGTGGAATTTTCCATTTAGCTTTATTATTCAGCATTATTATCCATGGAGAGAGATGACCTATAGCCTTTATTATATCCACGAGAAGAAAAGTTCTTGGGGTAATGGGAACTTTTCAGTGAAAAGTATGAGCTCTTCATTCCTGGGAGAAACAGAAATTCTCACATATGGGAGATAAGGAGTTTGATGGAAATTTGCAATTTTATTTAAAAAAAAAATCTTTCCAAACCATCTCTGTGCCTTTTATTTTCTCCTTTCTATTTAGATATGTTTCCTCTTTAGGGCTCTTGACTCATCCTCTAGGCAGCTTCCTTTCATGATAAGGGCTTACACTCTACTCTTCCCGAGGAAAGTACCTTTCTTTCCTAGTGAAGATGACCTCTCTTTGGGTCTCTTTTCTCCCTTCTTGCTGTCCTTCTATAATATAAATATTAACATGGTTTCCCCTCTTTCTGGAAACCTTGAAAGCCTAGTCGCCAAGTTAACTGACTGAAAAGTCTACCTCTGCTTTCTGGATAAACCTAAAGACCTCGCTTTGTCTTTAAATAAGACTGCCTCATTAAATCAAACACCCCATCCTAACACCTTTGTGTTCTTCCCTTTCATTTGAGGGCTAAAGACCAGATCTGTGCCTGTTTTTAATCACTTATGCCCGAGTGTTCACCTTTCTCCTCTTGCAGACAATATATTTTGAGGTGAGATAGGTAAGAACAATGAGTATCATTCCCATAATAATTCACTCACGTTACAGGCCCTTCCTATTCTTGAGACAGGGATAAACAGCTAAAATGAGAGACCACCAATTCGTGATTATTTTAAAAAAAAATCTTGAGAGAAGTATGCAAGCTGCCCTTGCCTTGAACTTGTATTTCGGTACATTGTATTCTGGACAAGGATTAGTGTAGAGTCAGTAGGGGAAGGGAAAGAAGAAAATGAGCTGGCATATAATTAATTAAAGGTAAGATAATCTCCAAAAGAGAGAGTGAAGTTTGCCCTTGCCAAGATCAAGAACCTCTTCCCATAGAGTTAAGTAGCCACTCTTTCATGCTTCTTCCTAGTCTGATTCAGATGTGCTTCAGTAACCTTATTAACTTGTAGTGATTACATTTGGAGATCTTGAACATCTCAGGATCCAGAAGACTGTGGTCATAACATCTGAAGCAATGAACCATACATTACAGCACACACCTAAACAAAAAGAGAGTTTAAGAGGAGACAGTGGGAAATGGGAGCGTCACACCCAAATTTTAAGGCCTCAACCCTCTCTGTATTTCTAATACCCATTGCCTCATATGATTGCTCTATTTATTCCCTTCATTTTGGTAAATAACAAGCCTAAGAAAGTAGCTAGGCTTCAAGTAGGAGCCCCATGAAGGACAACAAGCTTTTCATCTCAATCCCAGTCAACTTGGTGATCAGCCACTTGGTTGCAGCTTGATGATTGTGTTGAATTTTCTAAACCTGACATCTCTCAAGAGTCTCATCTTGGTCAGTAGAGCAGTGGGGAGTAGGAATAACTTGGGGGATGACATCACAAATCCTACCTAACTCTGATCTGCTCAAGGAATCTTATATCTGGAAGGGACTTTGGAGATCATGAGACAGTGGATAGAACACTAGAGTTGGAGTCAGAAAGATCTGAGTTCAAATCCTGCCACAGAAACTTACTAGCTATATGATTCTGGACAAGTCCCTTACTCTTTAGCCTTAATTGCCCAGTCTATAAAGTGAGAATAACAGGATTGTGAGGATCAGATTTTATACATCTATATTTATATCTGTCTGTCTATCTAACTATTTATCTATCTCTCTATCTAAACAAGCAGGAGAGGAGGAGTTAGAGGAGACAAGGCTTGAGAAAGTATTCACAAAGAAGGGAGAAGGGGTAGAAAAAAGTATAAATAGAGGGAAAAAGTCACAGAAGAACGAGAAGAAAAAGTT